ATGATTTCTAGATAATCAATCTTCTAGAAGAGGATCATGCATTCATACCAAGCTGGAAAGAAAAAAGAGCAGAAATAAACTGGGAGAACATCAGTTAAAGGACACTAAACAAATCAACAATGTTAGCTTTCCTAAAAAAAAAAGGGGATGTGTTGTCACATTATCTAGCTCCTTTTCAACCTCCAGTAATTAGGGACCTCTTCAGCTAATTTCAATATGCTTATTATACTTATGACTTTAGAAGAAGGGTACAAACAGGTGGAGATACTGTAAGTAAACCCACATAGATGTCCTGACCGAGGACAAGGCTGCAATGCAGGCTCCCAACTTGGGAGATGATGGAGAACCCCCAGAAGGAAAGACAAACCTCAGGGATGTCAAGCTATGAATGTAAACCCTGTGGAAACTAGGTACTATTAGGTCCTCAGTACATAGCACTCTTCTGTAGTTTTTTTCATCACTTTCCAAAGATCACTAGAAAATCAAAGTAGTAACATACAGTCATCCCTTTGCAGGTGAAGGATGACTTTTGTCCCTTTTTTGGGGGGTTCACACCGTGGTTACACATGCTCAGCACAAGATCTGTGGAGGGACTGGGTAGGGGAGCTTAAGGCATAGCTCACCGAGTAAATCCCAGCAGCGTTGGTGGCTCAGGCAGTTGCTGTCCCTACCTCCTGCCCGCCCAGGGAGCCACAGCTGAGGAGTCACTGAGCTGTGCAGAGGAGGTGACAGGGCTGGGCTGGGGGACTGTCCAGATCAACTGTAGCAAAACTGCCATGAGGTCAGCCCAAAGTAGGGTCTGGGTCCTCTCCTGCAGAGGCATGTTCAATAGGCTCTCAGCTCCAGGTGCAGGAATGCAATGCAAATACCTGGCATATCCTGACTGTTAGTCTTTTCCCCTAATCTGTCCCCACTCCCTTTACCTACAGGCAGTGGGGAACAGTTTTTAGACATTCCTGCATTACCCTGTCCCCCATGCCCCATCACTCATCTGGTTTCCCACAGCAGAACTAGACTAGCTCCAGAGGCCTGAAGGAGCACATGTTCTCATCATTCTTTGTAGCTGAGCAAATTTACTCAACACTTGTGTGTTATTCTATTATTCAGGTAGCTACATTGGACACAGAGCACCAGATTAAGGAGACTCCATGAGCAGAACCTTTATACCCTGCTCTTCACTAAAATGAAGCTGAAGAGGTAGAGTTGCTGAAAAATGGTCTAGCTACACAAAAGCATTTGCCAATGATAGTTTAGAGGAAAAAAAAAAAAAAAGAAAAAAAAGCAAACAGACAAACTCCCAATACATACTCTGTTTGGAAAACATTTTGAATGCAATTGGAGAAGGCTGCAGCAATAACAATGGGCCGTAGGGAGTAGCACATACGCTGCGTTTAACTCTCTGTCTCCTGAGCAGCCCCAGGCTCCCAAAGAGCAGCATATCTTCAGCACCAGGGCTTGACACTGGGAAATGCAACTCCTGATAACAGTCCATGATGAAGATATCATAACCTAGCTGGAAACAATCCTTAAATTCCCTGCCAAGGAAAATGGTCAAGCACAAGCTATTAAGCTTAGCTACCTACCCACTTTATTAGTGTGCACTGAATTTGTTTTGTTTAAATGACTCTCAGGGGAACAAAGAGCAGAAACAGGCATTACACTTGTTGCATATTTACCACTGAACTAATTCAGCTCCATTACAAGCGGGGGAAGATTTCAAAGCCTTTGCTCACAATTTGGAACACTTACCGAGAAGACTTTATTCATAGATACAAGCTAGGTCAGCATTTCCTAACTTTTTTTTTTTCTTTTTTTTAATGAAAGAATTATGTAAGGCGTTGAAAAAAATCTTACATAGTAGGATCACATATTTATCAGTAACAACCATACAAGCCTTAGGTTGTTCCCCTCTAATCCCTCAATTAAATTTTGTTTGCTCACATGACTAATGACACATGTGAGAACCTGGTCTATTTTTGCCTCCTCCTCATTTGGATATTCATCTACTAATATCTTAGAGACAGCAAGTGGAGGAGGACTGCACTAAAAGCCATTCTCCCTGCCAACCAGATAAGCATGATTCCACAGAATAAAACAAAACTTATCAGCTGCAGTGTTCAGTGTGCATTTCCCCACACAGTATCAATGAATTGCTAAAACTGGAACACTTGGAAGGTCTGAACATTCACATTTTACCATTAACTCCTTATCACTATTGAAAACCCTGGAGCTGGGTGATGCAATTCTGGCATCTGTTTACCCTATCTTCTGGACCTCCAAAATACTCAGACTTATCCAATCTGCGACAAGACGTGAGCTTGAACCCATCACGCATGAACCATATGTTCGAATGCAACAATGTTTTCAAAACCTTACGATGTGGAGAGGTTCAGAGCTGCTTTGCAGGAAAATTAACAGCCAAGCTTCTGCAATATCAGTCTGAAGTCAGCTTATGATCAAAACAGATGTAACTAAAAGCCTGATATTCCAAAAGCTCTATTTTAAAGACAGCTTAATCCTCTCAGCACCTTCCTCTTGGATCTGACACTCAAGTTACAGGGTCAGCATCCTGGCTCCTAACCAGAAGGCTTTTTACTGTACTGTAGTAACCCTCAGCAGAGGACGAGCCCTGGGAGTCATCAGTGCCTCTGCGGCTTGCATTAGTTTTTGTCACACTGGGAGGAGTATCAGACATTTGGACATCCATATAGTTCAGCTAATTAAAAAGGGACATTACAAACACATTTTAATTTTAGATAAAGGAGGACAAGAAAACACTTGAAAAACTGGCAGTTTATTTTAATGAGAAGAACTGCAAACTCCTATGCTGCTTTTACGGCCTGAGTGTGTTTTAGATGTGAATAGTCAGACCAGTTAAAAAGCAACCTTAGACTTTTAAAAATTAGGGGAAGCGTATATACACATGGGTGCAAGAAAGCAGAAAATAAGACCTGTTTAAAATAAGATCTTCCCTTGCAGTGATCTCCCTACTTTATCAGTAAACAATACCAGATAGATTAACTATGTGGAGCTCTCTGTCTTAATTTTTATGTCATTGGTAAATCCAAATCCAGGAATAAAACCCCAAGTAAACATGAAGACGTGTTCATGTTTCCAGATTTACTGTTGCTGGACTTTCCCCTTTCTTATGAAGTGTAAACAGAGCCTCTAAAAGACTGTGAGCACATGAGGTGACTAATAACGATAACATGAGCCTCCCTGGGGCTGCATGAACTTCTTCCAGAAAGTAAAGGAAGAGTTGCGTAGCAATCCTACCAAAGCACCCCGTTTTTTCCCCTTGATGTTTCCAGGCTAAGAGGTTGAAAAACTTGAAAATTCTGTTTACAGCTTTAGAAGAGTCATATTATTAACCTATAAGGTGGAAGGAAAAAAAATACATCTGTTTTTATTTGTTTGAAGACATCACCCTTCCTCGAAGCCACAGTTCCTCCCCTTCACTTCAGAAATAGCATTTTCAGTGCTCTGTGTTTTACTCAAAGACAATAATTTTGCATGGTGTGGCACATATGTAGTGATGTGACAGGTTTTTATGCCTTTGTGCACAGGCAGCTGCCAACATGGCTAGCCTTGTCCCCCCTTAAAGCAGCCCTGAGAGGCACTGATAAGACATTTTGCTCCTCCAGAAACAAATATCAGCATCCATAAGGCAAAAGGATCAACACAGATGTTGAAAAACCTCCCCACTCTCACTTCCAAGCAGGATAAAAATAAAAGCACCTGACTTGATGGAACAAAGCCAGGTTTTCTGGCCAGATTATTTTCTGTTGCTGAACAATGACTGTTTATACCAAAGATAAAAAGCAAACTCGGCATTGAAAAAGATGAGAGCAGGGAGAAACAGTGAGGGCTGACTTGGAAGGAGTCCACAGAGGAAAGTCCCCATGAAATGCCTCATGCCGATCCTGCAGTTGGACTCTGGAGACAACTGCTTGCTGAATGAGTGGTCTAGTTCTTTTCAGAAAGCTCAAGTAGGTGGGTACAAAGTAAGGATGTAAGCATAAATACAAAAGCCAAAAAAAGTACAAATATATAAAACCCCCAAACATGTTTAAGTATAAATAAAACTAGCTTTTTACTCAGAAGTGGAATTCCCCAGTTACTGTTAAAAGCCAATGTTTTGCGTAACCAAGAAAACCAAATTAAGGAAAAAAATATCTTTTGAAAAGATTAAAAACATAAGGGAAGCCAAAGTGTTCTTCATTCCCACTGGGTCAGTCTAGGCAGACTGTAAAATACCATACCTGGTCGAGGGGGCAAGGTACATTTCACCATGCGTTACATGCCGAATCAGCATTTTCAGCGTGGATTACAGGTGAGGGTGAATGTTTTAAAGATGAAAGGAAGCTGCACGTGGCGGGGTGTGACCAAAAAAATGCATACTACTGAAAGCAATACTTTGTACCAGAGGAGCTGGGATGGACTTACACCCCCAGTCCTTACAAGCAGCACCTTGCGGAGGACCGGACATTACTTAAACAGCTTTGGAGACTTCCTTGTTCTTACCAGCAACTCTGGCCATTTGCTAAATATTTGCTTAAAGATATTTGCTTGGAAGCCCTATCAGCAGGAGCCAGGTACCGGTGAGCAGCCAGCTGCCTTCCATGGAGCGCCATGGCACATCCCACTGGGGCCAGTGGTCTACTACCCTCTCCACAGGAGGGACAGGCAGTGGAGGAAGACATTTTGAAGAGCAAATCTGGTATGCAAGAGAGCTACTAGAAAGCAAGCTTTATTCCCTGTACCTTTTAATTAGTTTTGTCTCGAATAGAAGACATTGAAGTCTAATTTTCCAGAGTGAGGGGTAATAGAGAGGGTCTGTGAAACCTCTGAAATATGTTGAAAATTCAGGTTAAAAAGTTCAGACAGAGAATAAGTAGGAAAGATACATCTTTCCAACCAAAACAAAACCTCTAGACTGCCTGAGGAAAGCTGGCAATTACCAGTGTTAAAGGTTCCCCTCCAGGTCAAACATCATTTACCTTGCTCATTGGTGCAACAACTTCTGCCGAGAAGGAAGCCGGTTTACGCAGACAAACCCTCCCCAAGCCCTGTACGCCGTCCCCGACTCGCAGCAGCTGACCTTGCAGCACCAGAGGGGCCTGTCCGGTAGCGCTGCCCCGGTCAGGAAGGTGCCACCGTGGGTCTGCAAGGGATGGCGATTTTCCCCAGCCCCCTCGGTGTCATCCTTTACACCTCGTCCTACAGAAAGCTTTCCCGATCCCCCACCCAGATGCCATAGGGCCGGCAGCTGGCCAAGCACCCCTGCCAATCCCACACGGGATCTACCCTGACTGGCTGCTGCTCTTCATCCCCCTTGGCTGCCCTGCACATGCCAAAGAGATAAAAAAGGGAGCAGCTGCTGATGGACCCGCTGGCCAGAGATGAACTGAGGCTTCTCTGAGCCTGTGACAAGTGATGGGAAAGCTGACGCATACAGAGCCATAAACAGGTAACGGTTGTGTCACAGGAGAATTCTGTCGGCTTTTGTGAATTTTTCCTGCTGAAATGACCCAATGACACACACTTTAGCACTGTTCCTTTCCCGTTTGCAGCTTTCCTTAGCCATTCAGGTTTTTAAACAAATCAGAGCTGCCTCCCAGCCTTCGAGCAGGAGCCTTGAGGGGTTGGGGGGGCACAGCCAAGTCCCTCATGTGCATCTGGTCACTAATCCCAAAGAAAGGAACAGAGAGTTAATTCTCTCCCCCACAGCTTTCACTACTGCATTATCTGTACAAAGATATACAGAGGGAAAAGCAATCTGTTCAGAATCATTTGGGAGTGAGGGATTAAAAAAGAAAGAAAATAGTGACACTGTTAGAAACACACACACAGAGAAGCCTTTGTGTGCCAGAGTGAGGGAGCCAGCAGAGATATCTCCAGCAGTTTACAGCCGCAGAACAAGCTAGGATGGAATTAGCAACAAACTCATTGGGATGCAATTTAATCAAACTGCCCAAAGGCAGACCTGCTAAATAATCTTGCTGGTGTGCTTTCAACCACCCACTGCCCTTGAGTGTTATTTGATCACTTCAGCTGAGGTGAGGTAGCTGTTTCTCCATCACAGCTAGACTATGGGTTATCCCCAACATTTTGGGATTAGGCAGGTAAGCATTAAGAGCCCCTCCCTGTTAATTTGCCTAACACCACATGGAAGGAGGTGCAGCAGCCGCAGAGAGAGGGCAGCTGTTTTACTGCATACAGTGCTGGATCATACCCTTGATAGTCTCACCATGGACTGGTTCCTCAGATTCCTCCCCACATGGTCTCCAGCCCTTCCTATCCAGTACGGGCTTTGAAATATGAATAAATGGTGATTAGCCCTCAGACCAGAAGAGCAAAACAGAGGCAAGCAAGCCAGCCAGCACTCCTCACACACACACTGCAAGCCCAGGGGTCATCAAGTGGGTGAAGCAAATGAGATCCCACTGAGGTGAAGCCCTGCTCAGCCAAAATGGGAAGCAAAGCAAGTCCTTAACCACATGTGTGGTCAAATGTTTTTAACCAGGCTGTTGTAGCTCAACCCACTCCCACCCCTCCTACAAATAAGGTTAAAAATACCTATTTTGTCAGCTGTGCTATAGAAGCAAGTTCCTTGATTAGTGGAGAGAAATGTTAATCACTGTGTGAACAAGTTACTGAACTGTAATCAGACCTTTAGCATTATCTGTCTCTAACAGACAGGTGCTCAGCAAGGAGAAGCTCAGCTTCCTCCAGGGCAAGCAAGGCATGTTACAGAGCTGTGTTGCCAAAGCTGAGACTGCCTGGACTCATTTTTCTGAAAAAATGGCAAGATTAGATTTCACACATGTGTGCTGGTACTCTGCACCAGATATCAGTGCTTATTTTTTATATATACTCCAACAGCAATGGATACCAGAGGCCAAATATAGAAAGGTTTTGTAAGGCTAGCTCTATGCTTACCTGAGATTTATTATACTAATGACCCTGTTCTCATATTAGTCAGTGTAATCTGTGAAACATTCAAAATAAAGCCTCCAAATGCCCTGGAAACCAAGATAAATGATCAAGGCCAGATAAGGGGAGAAGCTTTTCAGTGATCTTCTGCCACTGTTGTATTCAGAGCTCAGCCAGCCTATTAAGTTACTCTAATTAAAACATTTCTGCTTTTTTTTTTAGTAAAGCTTATTCATTTGAAATTGCGCATAAAAGCTTTGCAGGATGCACTTTGAAAGTGCTGCAAAAGATAGTGAAAAGATAGGATTGTTATTCCTGTAGATCAGTGCTAGTCAGGATCTTCATTAGAAATGGGAGCAACCAGCCAGAAAATGAAACAGACCGTGATGTAAGATGTCAAGGTATACTATGCGGAAAGACATCTTTTACTGAGACACCTCAGGACTTGCTGGAAGTTTCTGGCTATTTCCAGGGAAGAAGATTTGAGCAAACAGCTCAGCCAGGGGAGCAGCAAGCCCTCAGCACAGCTCCCCATGCTGTGGAGATTGCCACCAGCAGAATTCTGGTGTTTTCATTATTCAGCAGCTGCTGCCAGCTCTCATTCACATATATCACCTGGTCATAAATAAATAAAACACCCTACATGCAAACCTGTGACAGAGGAGACCATTAGAGACTAACGAGCACACAGGCTTCATGCATTTGCTTGTACTACAGTCCGACACTGACCATTTCACCAGCACTCATTATGCTGAGGTGCAGATCTTGGACCATTTTTACTGTTACACATCACTTTTCACTTTCTTTTTCAGTGACAATTATATTCTTTTTACCTGGGCCAATGCCACTTCCCCCACACACCTATTCCAATAAATGTTTTTAGAATACTAAAATAGGCCTATAATTTCCATTGAAAGTGTTTGTACAGTGTATGGCATGTTCCAACCTCCCAGCACTGCTTGTGAGAATCCACATAGCCCAGCTGAAGTGTTACTTCTTGTCTCAGGACCAACCCAGCAAACAAGGACCAAATATTTTCAGTGTTGCTACACATTCAGTGGAGATTTCTACACCCATAGGCTTTCTGTGCAGCCTTGACTTCAAGTTAGGCTAAGTCCTGAAGGAGTAGATCCAGCCCAAGAGCCTGTCTCATTAACCAAGCCAATGACCACAGTTAGACTTTGTGATCCTCATTCCTGACCTGCTTCCACTATCACTGCACTGTGCAGGGCTGATAAAACCACTCTGCATTCTCACATTGCCAGCTAATCCTGGGAAAGGCTTCTGGACGCTACCCTGCTCTGGAGAAAAGATACTGCATAATACTAACATGTGCAGTTTGATACATTGCAAAGTTCATGCTTCCTTTCTTCCTCTTCTCAGAATCAGTAGCTCTCGGGCCATGCTACAAAGCTGCTGAACTGGCATAGCCAAGCCATATCCAAGAAAGCCACAGCTCTTACATTAAAAACAAAAGCATTAAAAATAAAAGCAAACCCAAACAAAACAAAAATGCACACACACGTTTCATTATATAGAACCACATTCAAGTAGCACCATAATCAACCAAACTGGAAACTAAACCTTACAGAAAAAAAAAAAAAAAAAAAAAAAAAGACACATAATTTTCTTTTCACTAGGAGTCAGAATTGTCACTTGACCACACAGTATTACAAAGAAAAGAAAAACAAGTTTGTCAGGAATACTCTTAAACCAGTTGGCCTTCTCTAGCAGCACATTGTGTAAGTTACCTCAAAGCAGTTTATATACCAAAGGCTTTTGGAGAAGAATTCTAGAACCAAGAGTAAATGATAAATACTATTGGTTGGCTTTTGGACATCTCAGAACTTTATGATCTATTTTGATTTATTTATTCAGAAAGTAGCATATTCAGGATTTACCTGGAGATTAATTTTTCACAGGACCTAATACAGTAACATATATTCAGCTGTTCTTAGAGAGCTGATGACACTGTTAAGCATACAAACATTTTTACAGTCTCTTTAAGGTACTCCAGGAAATTAAAGCATCTTTGAGTTTCACACCAGAGCAAGATGTTTCTAAGACAGCAAAGTATAATGCAGCTATTTCAGAATTATTACTTCAGCAAAACTGATCCAGATACTCAAGAGTTCATTATAGCATAGGAAAGTCAAGAGCAGCCTCTATTCAAACTATAAAGCCAGACTCACTTATCTAATTTTCAGTGTACTGTAAAGCAATAGAGATTTTTAAGAAACAGCTTATGGCTTGGCTATACAAAGACAAATTTGTAGTGAGAAAAAGTAATTTCAAACTTGGCAGTGTACACAAATGTGTCTGAGTACCACTACTTCTCTGTAATGCTAACTATCTGGATAATACTTTCTTCAAAACCAGCAGTAGACTTAAAATGTTTCTTCTTTTTGGAAACAGGGCATGTTTCTGGATGTTCACCTTAGCTGCTTTCCATTAGTGTTTTCCTCCTAAGCCAAGGGATTCCTTTCAATTTGTTTGATTGTAGGTGTATTTATTATCATACCTTCAAAATAGGACCTGTTTTAACTTCAGTCAAATTTTACAGAGGATGAGAGTACCTCTAAGAGTTCTGCTTATCCATGAATATTTTGAACATACTGATTTAACAGAGGACTTCAGAGCCATGTTTGCTGCTCATCATACAAGAGACGGTGCTCTAAATCAAATCTAAGATTCCCTGTAGGTCAGTAGAGCCCTAGAAAAGACACAGCTTATGTCTTTCCAGCACCTACCTCAGCTTCTTCCCCATCCATCAGGATCTAACACAGCAGGAAGTTCAGCCCACTAGCCACGTCTAAACTTCTCACAAACATAAAGTCTAAGGGAAGGCACCAGAAGCATGTCATCCATCAAGCATGAGATCCTTCAGTAGGGGTTTTTCTCCAAGGTTGAGGGAGGTGCCTCAACTTTCTAGCAAAGGATCAGCTGGAGAGGCCTCACCAGACATCAGCTTTTCATTCATGGTCACCCATAATATGGTTTCATCTGACCGCTCCTTCAGCCTCTCTTGAGCTCTTGCAGTCAGTGTCTGCACCTCCTCTTTAGAGCTCTCCCAGGAGCAAACGGTTCCCTCTCGTTCCTGCCTTAAACTTAATTCAGGAAAAAAGCCCCCTGCTTGAGTCTTCTTGCTCTTCTCTCAACAGCTTCCTTCCTGACCTGTGCCAGACTCATGGACCCCTACCAAACTTTTTAATAACCACC